GAACCCTTTTACAAACAAGTTTATAGAATGGCAGAAACATTTAAACAAAGATAATATATTCAGAAGGAAATTAAGTCCACTAGAAAATCAGGCATGATAGGAAATAGACTAGTTGCCAAACAGGAAAGCATCAGGCACAGATCAAATACCCAATGAATTGTTTAAAGCTGCCAGAGAAGAGACAGTTAAAATGCTAACAACTTTGTGATGAAACAAAAATGGGTGGCCTATAGAGATTTGGTATATAATTCAATCAGAAGTACCTACAGGTAGATATAATGATACCAAAATAACACAGCATGTGCTGTGATGTCATGGTATAAGGTTCACCCTTTCATATTTACATCATGACATCACTTATAAGGACGTAAGGGGCAGTGATCAGCAAGTAGAAACTCACATCTTTTGGGTATGTGATACAGGCAAATGATGGATGAGGAAAAATCATACTTGGCAAGGTTTAGGGAAATGTTATGATGAGGTCACAGAAAGGTATATACCTGAAGAGATAAAACTAATGATATACTGATTTTCAATAGTGCTTTTCACCCCAAATAAAAATCCATTTAAATGTGATTTTTTCTCTCTGATAATTTAAACCCTTTTTAAAATATAGGATCAAAGCACTTAATATTTGAAAATGAAATACTTCAGGAAATATGCACATTTTTTCTGCATATTCCCCAGAGAGTGGCAAACTCTGTGTTTATGAAATATAAAGTCTAAAAGGCAAAGTTAATCAGCACTTTGTAAACTGTAGCAGCAATACAAAAATCATAATATTCTGTCAGACACTCTTCAGTGTAGGATATTGGCTATTACCTCAAAATCCCAGTACAAATATATGTACCCATTCCCATTTCCATTCAATACTTAGAATTTTAGAATGCTAAATAGCCCTCAATCCATATTTTAAATGCACAGAGGGGGTGAACTATATTTAACCCCCCCCTCGTCATTTTTTACTTTCCTTTGAGGATGGCCATGTATTATTAAGATCCCAATTCTATGGAGGGTTGTCATCCCATTTAGCTGTATGATGACATCCTTATTCCAAATCATGCTAATCAAATTCTCAAAGGTTGAGAGAGCAGGACAAAGCCCATTGTTTTTCTTATGTCCATTTTACAGAGCTTGAAGAGAGTTTATATATATGTACATTAATCATCAGTCATCTTACATAACAAACAATTCAAGAATTTATTGACAATATGCATAAATTGAATGCTGTTCATGGGCCCGGCATAATTATATGAGCATATCAATTGTATGTGACCTGAATGGAATGTATGAATGTATTTATTAATGTCTACTGCTATACTTTATGTTTACTTTTAGAGTTAACCACAGAATATTTATCATAAACAATAATGGCAAATACTCACACCAGGGAAAACTACACAGTTTTGTTTTGACCTGATTAACAGTGATTAATGCAAAAAGTAATTCCATAATGGCTGACAAGAAATAATACATCTAACTTTCCACTCAACTACATGAAGATTCACAGCCATAGATGTATTTCGTCCTGAGTAATCTATTGTGGCTTAAGTTTGGATATCATCATTTTACAAGGAAAATGTAAGGTAATTTACAGCACAATTTACTGCATAGCAGTATCAGTATTTTTCCCTTTCATTGATAAACTTGCTTTGTTGGCTAGGAATTGTTTCTGAAATGGGTGTTTTAATCAAGTCTGAAGATCACGTGACCAGCCATGGGCATGGTATTGGGCCACACATTATGGCTACCATATTTGAGCTGCAAAATCCAAACTACTACTAGAGCTATCCAAGAGATATAGAAAACTCCTTGCTGCTTTCAAGTGGTGGTCCAGATTTTTGCAGCCCAAACATGGCCATACTACACATATATGTAAACATACAGATACACACACACACACACACGATGGTTCTCCATACTGAGATGAAGAAAGGCGCATCCCAGTTCACTAAAACGGAGAGACTGAATTCATCACACCCCAGTAAACAACAGCAGCATACAAATACGTGTAGAGATCTCGCGAGACTGCCAAGGGCTCCCTCTGTGACAGAAAGAACATCTAAGCATCCTGCGTGAGCCAAGGCAACGGACACCTCCTGTGATAAACTGTAAAGTTATAGTGAAGAAAAAAGAACCACCAGACTTTTACAAACTGCAAAATTATATTAAAGAAGGAACAACCATCAGGCTTTTACAAAGATAGAGTCTAATCTCAGAAACTTTTACAGCACATCATTATGTCAACAAGCACACAGAGGACTAGTCCCAAAGTCCCTTGTTAAAGCTTTGGAAACAAACATACTTGTAAAGAAAGGTAAGATTGTTTAAAAGTATCATCCTTAGTGATGGACAGGCATGTAGAGAGACACAGATAATTACCATGTCATGTTTTACCATTGTGTGTAATTTATGGCTCTGGTACAAATTTTGCCTCAGGAATGAACTCAATAAACCGACTCTGAAAAATTTTCGACATTTAGACCTGGCCACTTCGTCGTCCTATCTGTCTTATGGGGTTTCAGAGCTCTTGAGAGAATTTCTGAAAACTAATAAGCAAATGCATTAAGTATTACTGTATTTCCTGCATGCAGAGGGATAGTTTATATAAAGCACGTGATATATTACAAATGGCTTAGTTTGTTAAAATTAGTTGCAGGGTTACATTTTTCCTCACTTCCGCCAACGTTTTCTCCTGCAGGGAGCTGATCCAGACTATTATAACTTATTTTATCATCAGTTCTTACACATGTTGGACTGGCCGCGCTCACCGTGACTGTTTATACAGATAGTCTTGCCACACCCTAAAGACTAATGCGCTCGCCTCTAAGGAACACGTTTTTTGTTTGCTTGTTTCGGCTATTCTTCTGGCAACTGTTACTGTTGAGCAATATGTAAATCACTGCATGTAAAACCACTACTCTAATTCTGGGGAATTCAGTGCTCAAGGGTCAACACCACACACGTGACGGAATTCCTCTAGACGCACACACTCCCTTCCCGTACCAAGGGACTACAGAGCTACCACGACACGGAAATCTGGGTAACGTGCGATCTTAACGTCTTTCCTCTGGGCCCGCGAAGCAAATTGCGCCCGCGCCCTCCCGCTAAGAGCGACGGGAGTCCTGCCCGGCACTTTTGCCCCGCCCTCTACGCCTGGCGCGTGGGGGAGGCAGGACGCCGGCTCCCGCCGCGCATGCCCACTCCCCCGGCCTAGCAGGGGAAGGCGGGCGGGGAAGGATGCTGAGGCG